AGTAAAGAAGAGAGGTAGGGAGGGATGGAGAGAAGGAGGGATTTAGAGAAGGGAGGGGGAGGATGGGGGAGGGAGGGAGAGAGAGAGAGAGAGAGAGAGCAAGGAGGAGGCAGGCGAGAGAGAGAGGAAGGGAGGGACCGAAGGAGGGAGAGGACGAGGGAGTGAGGAGGGAGGTGTCGCGACACTGCTCTGATGAATGGCTTGGCGTTGGCTGATTCCCGGTTGTTGCTGACAGGAGCGAGACCTGCTGAAGACTTTCCGAATCCCCGTGGACACCTTTGTCACGTACATGATGACGCTGGAAGATCACTACCACCCTGACGTGGCCTATCACAACAGCCTGCACGCCGCCGACGTGGCTCAGTCTACGCACATCCTGCTCTCCACACCCGCCCTCGATGTAAGTCTCTGCCCATCTCCCTCCCTCTCCTCCTCCTCTTCCTCCTCCACTCTGCAGCTCTCCTCACCTCCCTCGCTATCCCCCTTCCTCCATTGCTCCCGCACACATGTTCAGGCCGCGATTTATTTCTCTCTCTGTTTCAGGCCGTCTTCACGGACCTCGAGATTCTTGCCGCCATTTTTGCCGCCGCCATCCACGACGTGGACCATCCGGGCGTCTCCAACCAGTTCCTCATCAACACCAGTGAGTGACGCACCTCGACGTGCACTCTCCCGTCCACTCCCCACCCCTGCCCTGCAGGCTTCCCCCCCCCGCCCCACCCCCCTCACCCTGTATGCCCCTTCCCCTACCCCGTCTCACTCGCTCCCCTTACATAACACCCACCCCACGCCCACGGCACTGTATTCCCTCCGCATCCCACTTCCTGCCCTCTCTACTGTATGTTGTTGATGAAGTTGTTGATGCTGATGCAGCTATTGATGTTGCTGTTGCTGTTGTTGTTGTTGACACTAACATTGCTATGCGATGCCCTCTTGCACCCCCCCCCCCACAGACTCGGAGCTGGCTCTGATGTACAATGACGAGTCCGTGTTGGAGAACCATCACTTGGCCGTGGGCTTCAAACTGCTGCAGGAGGATTGCTGTGACATCTTCCAGAACCTGAGCAAGAAACAGCGGCAGATGCTCAGGAAGATGGTCATCGACTTGGTGAGCACATTACAGGGTCTCCCCCTCTCTCTCGCTCTCGCTCTCTCTCTCTCTCTCTTTCTCTCAACACCGGGTCAGGAGGTTTGGAGGGGGTTCAATCCCCACGTCGGGAGCTTTGATCTCGCAGCCCAGACCGACCCTCCGGCGCAGAGATGAGACGTTAAAGTGAGGTCCTGTCCTTGCCCACAAGATGCACAGTCACTCCACTTTGCAGTGTGAAGCATGTTATCCTGTGAAGCCCTTTCAGACACTGCGACGATGGGATCAGGCGCTCTGACAAAAACGCGAGGATTATTAATCCAGCTCTTTGGGACATGCTCCCAACGCGAAAGGCGCTACACGCGTGTAATTTGTTGTTAAGAATTTCCCCGGATGGGGGTTGGGGTGACTCTAACCCTTTCCTCCCTTGTTTCCCGCCCAGGTATTAGCCACGGACATGTCCAAACACATGAGCCTGCTCGCTGACCTCAAGACCATGGTGGAAACTAAAAAAGTCACCAGTTCGGGGGTGCTGCTGCTGGACAATTACACGGACAGGATACAGGTACACGCATATGCCATGCAACGCACATGTAACCTCCACGTGACGCACAGTGACCCACATAGGGGAGAGGGTGTGTAGTGATGGGGCGGGAGGGTGTAGTGATGGTGGGGGAGGGTGTAGTTATGGTGGGGAAGGGTGTAGTGATGGGGGAGGGTGTAGTGATGGGGTGGGAAGGTGTAGTGATGGTGGGGGATGGTATAGTGATGGTGGGGGATGGTGTAGTGATGGGGGATGGTGTAGTGATGGGGTAGGAGGGTGTAGTGATGGTGGGGAAGGGTATAGTGATGGTGGGGGAGGGTGCAGTGAAGGGGAGGTTGTGTACTGAGTGGGTGCGATGGCTGTTGCAGGTGTTGAGGAACATGGTGCACTGTGCTGACCTCAGCAATCCCACCAAGTCGCTGGAGCTGTATCGCCAGTGGACGGACCGCATCATGGACGAGTTCTTCCACCAGGGAGACAAGGAGCGGGAGCGAGGGATGGAGATCAGCCCCATGTGTGACAAGCTGACGGCCTCCGTGGAGAAATCACAGGTCAGTCTACCCGCCCGCGTTCTCTCATTCCCTCCCCTCCCTCCCTCCCTCCGTTAATAATCCATCTGGATACAGCGTGATCGTAATGTCTTGCGGAGGCGGTGGTGGGGGGGGGGGGGGGGGTGAGGGAGCTGGTGGTAGTTGACCAAAAACACAGAAAGAGAGAGAGCGAGATAGGGGGTGTGGGGCGCACGATGTGGAGGGAGGAGGGATTTTGTGAGAGAATACAGAGACAAATGTGTTGGAGGGGTGGAGGGTTGGGTTGGAGGGTGGGTCAGTATAATGGCTAAAGGTTCGGTGGTCGTGGAGGGAGAGAGGGTGGGCGAAGCCTGGGAGATGATGATAATAATAATAATAATAATAATAATCCTTGCATTTGATATAGCTCCTCATCACGTCATTGAGGCGTCTCAAAGCGCTTCGCAGGTTATACTCTGAAGTGCAGTGACTGTATTTTGTGGGCG